TCTACCCAATTTGTTAACCTAAAATTAAAAACATCCTTGTATAATGTATATAGAACAATGAGATAGATAGGCTATGAACCTCCAGAATCAGCTGGTGTATAGTGTGAGAAATTCAGTGACCATGTGTAAAGAAACAGTCACCTGCAGTAGGAACATGAAACAGAAAGGTGGATACTTTGAGTTTCACCCATCTATGGATGTGGGGAGGGGGAGAGAAAGAGAGAATAGTTATGACTGGGTCTCCCAGGCAACTTGGGGTGGGGGTTAGAAGTGACAGTTACTTTAGACATAATTCCTTGTTTATTTTCACTGTTCAAAATAATTGTTTAATTATTTTCATTTTCTCTTAAATAGAAGTAATTTTCTATATTATGAAAACTGAAAAGAAATGAAAACGTTAACTTGTAATACTATGCCCACTGTTCACATTTTGCGTCATTTCTTTCCAATTTTTATTTTTATTTTTATTTTTATTTTCCTGGTACCAGGAATTGCACTCATGATTTTGCGCTTGCCAGACAGGCGCTGTGCCACTGAGCTAAATCCCCAGCCCCTCTTTCCAATTTTTAAAATACATCTTGAGTATTTCTAATCATAGTATCAATTTTGCATTGTATTTTTGTTTTTTAGCATGGAAAAATGCTGTATTCTTACAGTGTTTGACATAATAGGCACTCAGTATTCACTAAAGAATGAATTCCTGACATATTTTTTATATGATCTTTTGAAAGACTTTTCAAATAACTAAACCTTACTTAATCATTGCCCTTGCGTGTAAGATATTGTTTCCAAATTTTCCTGTCTTAGCCAAGTGTGGTAGCACTTGCCTGTCATCTCAGCACCTCTGCAGGTGAAGGCAAGAGAATTGCTTGAACCTCAATTTTGAGATCAGCAAGCAAGAAAGAATAAGCTTATTCTTTGGACAGATTTTCAGAAGTAATGGTGAAATTAATTAGTAGTCAGAATTTTGAACTGTAACAGACAAAAACATAGTTAAGAAATGTCCTAGACAGTCTCACTGGGAACTTGAATGAATCTCGCTTCAGCTTTGGCTATTACCAAGCGCTCAGTATTGTATCTATTGTTTACCAGTGTTTGACTTCCCTCTGGCAGACTATTGCCATCTTGTGGTAAAGATGAACATTGGCAGTTTTTTTTTTGTGATTTCTGATCCTTACAAAAGTTTGAGAAAGATGGTGGTTGATTTAACTGGTTTCTCATCTATCCCTAAACCAATTACTGTGGCCAAGGAAATGAAATACTGTACATTGATGGAGTAAGCGTGTGTTTTGTTCCCTTAATTAGGGGTTAGGTCAGATTTAACATATTTACAAAGACTGACTAGATTATTTTAGAATGTAAGGAGGGTGGTTCTCCTTAGGAAGTGACCTTGGACAGACAGGAAAGTGATATTCAAATATTATTAAATTGTTATTTCATTTCATTTATTTATTTACTTTTTTTTATTTTAAAGAGTAAAAGAAGGATGACACAGTAATAGGGGAACTTACCGAATTACAGACAAAGTGGTAGGAAATTATCAATGGTTGTTATTTTACCTACTGGTATCTTCAAAATAGTTTCTCAGGAAAACAAATAGACAAATAATAGTGAGTTACAGACAAAAGTGGTAGGAAATTATCAATGGTTGTTGTACTATACTTTGGTATCTTCAAAGTGATTTCTAGGGAAAACAGAGCTATACATGAGTGATCAATTAACTATTGATCATTAATAGTCAACTATCAGTAGTCATCATCAATAGCTATCATTGACTATTCTCAATGGTTGTTGGAAACGCATAGTAATAAACATACATCCATTTACGAAATAGCATAGGAACAATACAAACATTACAGAGTTATGGACAGATTGGTAGGAAATTATCAATGGCTTCTGTAATACATGTTGGTATCTTCAAAGTGGTTTCTCAGGAAAACAGAGATATGCAAGAAAGATCTAACAAGTAGATATAGCTTAAGGGTTGTGAAAAATAGCAGATTACCTCCTCACCAGTGACTCCTTTCACTGAGGTGTGATGGCTGGAAGGAAGGCCAGGATTGAAAAGAAGGACTGAGAGACTAGCACCAGTGTCCAGCAATAGGCTGTTTACTTTTTCCTCTATAGTCATGAATACTCGGGGCTCCTCCATGGAGATGACAGTCTGGCCAGAGGGAGAAGGCAGAGTATGCCCTGGGCCCCTTCATTCCTGTTGGACCAGCTGGTAGGAGGGGTCTGAGCCCTGGGGCCTTCACTTCAGAGGGCAGACTGACCTCTAGTAGTCACCTTTACAGTCAGGGCATGGCCCAGGGGGCTACTTAGGGCAGTCCCTCTTGAGGTGGCCTGGCTTTTGACAGTGGTAGCAGATGAATGTAGTCATTGAGTTCTTCTTGGGGCCCCGAGAATCAGACTTAGGGTCTGTTTCTCTTAGTGCTGCAGCAAAGGCAGCTGCTTTTTCTTGGTCTCTTTGTTTTCTCTCCTTGGCCTCCTCCTTATCATGGCTATAAAATATGGAGGAGGCAATTCTTACTAACATCTCAAGTGAGCTATCTGGGGCAAAAACCATTTTTTGTAGCTTTTTTCTACTATCTGGGGCTGACTGAGTAATAAACTTACCTTTAAGAATAATCTGCCTCTCTACTGAACTGGGATCCAGGAAAGTATGCTTTATCAATGCCTCTTGTAAGCGATCTAAGAAAGCAGAAGGGTGTTCCCTTTTTTGGAGGGGGGAGGGCCTGTGTCTTAGCCATCAACGGAGCACCCACGCCAATCATCTCTTCAGCCTCCCATTGCATTGGGACCTTGCAACCACTTAGTATCCTCTCCCCAACCGTCAACACAGGCGGCAGGAATATGTGGATGAAGTCCTCGGCCCGCTAGTCAGTCTCAGCTCCATCAGGTGCAAAGTGTCCCAGGCAGGTAACCTAGACACGTACCTTCTCCATGAAGGTGGTTCTTCAGAATCTGAATATTGGGCACCCATGTAATCCATGAAGTCTTGGTGCAGACCTCTCCAGAGCTCCACACGCTCCTCCACCACAGCCTGTACAGTCAGGGGGAAAATGGCTTCCAGGGAGTCTTCCCAGGTATTGTGCAAGGTCCTTCCAGTTTCCAGCTCCAGGACAGCTCTCATGTCCCCAGTCAGCTCAACTTCTGAGTCATTGGGCGTCATCTGTATTCTCGTGTTCTCTGAGTCCTTGTTCATCAGCTGCTCCTCCACTGACTCCGGACCTTTCTGGTTCTCAATTGCAGGGCCAAGAGCAACCCGTTGTGTGGCATGTTTTCCCATGGGTTTCTCCATGTCGGGATGGTTCACACACATCCCTTGTGTGGGAGGGGAGGGCCAATTGTGTCAGGAGGGCCTCCGCGGCCAGTGTGGGGTGGGCCAATTGTGTTGGTGTTTCTCTGTGGCATGATAGTTCTTGACCATGCTGCTGCACTGCTTCCCGGGCACCCGCTGCCTGCTTCCCGGGCACCTGTGCAGCTGGGAGCTGGCCCGAGGGCCAGCTCGCCCCACCACGTAGCTTCCTGGGTGCCTGCTGCCTGCTTCCCAGGCACTTCCATGGCTGGGAGCCGGCCTGATGGCTGGTGTGCCCTGCCGCACTGCTTCCTGGGCACCTGCTGACTGCTTCCCGGGGGGAGGGGGGGTTCCGCCGTGTGGCTTCCTGGGAACCTGCTGCCTATTCATTTACTTCTTGTGTGGTGCTGAGGAATCAAGCTCAGAGCTTCAGGCGTGCTAGGCAAGTATTTTATTACTGTACTGTACCTTCAGACCTTTCATTCTTGAAAGATATTGCTAAGTGATTTTCAAAAGTTGATTCTAGCTTTCATAACATTTCTTATTGTACTATACTTTTACCAATGTTGGATATTGTAATTCTGTAAATATTTTGCTAATTTCTTGGTTTAAAAATGGTAGTTTAGGGGCTGGGGATTTAGCTCAGCGCCACAGTGCCTGCCTGGCAAGTGCAAGGTTGTAAGTTCGATTCCCGGTACTGGAAAAAAAAATGGTAGTTTATACTTTCTCACTTAGCATTTATCATAATTATTTTTTGTAAGTGTAACTTAGATGGTTTCTATTCTTCCATTTGACAGACTCACCATAGTTTGCTAAGCCATTTTCCAGTTATTAGTCACATAAGTTGTTTTCTAATTCTTATTTTTTTAGCCCTTGTAAAGAACAGTACTGCAACTTTTTATGCCTGTGGGTTTTTGCATCTATTGTTTTTCTTTAGAAAAAAACTTCAATGATGATATTCTTGCATCAAAAATACAATTATCTTTGTGCCTTTGCTCTCAAAGAATTTTACCAACTTGTATTTCTACCAGTGTTATATGATGGCTGTTGTTTTATTGTACGTTTACTAACATTGAGAAGTATTTAAATTTTTTTTTTATTTATAGTTTTTGGTGCTAGGGATTGAATCTAGTGAATGCTAAGTACATTCTCCACAATTGAGCTATATTGCTAACCAAGCAGTATTTTAAAGAATGTTTGCTCATTGATTGGGTTTGAAAAGCAATCTCAAGCCAGACATGATGGCACATACCTGTAATCCAGCACTCTTGGAGGCAGAAGCAGGAGGATTACAAGTTGGAGCCCAGCCAGGGCACCTTAGCAAGACTGTATTTCAAAATTAGAAATGAGAAAGGGCTAGAGATGTAGTTCATTGAGAAGGCCTTGAGTTTTGTCAGTACCACCCCTGCATGCTTGCATGCACACGCACATACAGAGAGAGAAAGCTCTCAAATTATTACTATTATTATTATTTTTTGGTACCAGGAATTTAACTCAAGACTTTGCACTTGCCAGGCAGGCACTTGTGCTACTGAGCTATATCCCTGGCCCTCAAATTATTTTAATTTGTAATTTTAATTTACTTTTTCAATGAAAAACTTTATTTCTTGCATTCTTCAACTCCTTTCTTCTCCTTGCCTGTTTAGAGTATAAGTACCATCCATGTTCTCTGCTTTACCTTATTTATTCTTCTCATGCCTAGGTCTGGTCCATAGAACTCACATGTCATCCTGTCGGGTGGATAAGCCCTCTGAGATAGTAGATGTCGGAGACAAAGTGTGGGTGAAACTTATTGGCCGAGAGGTAAAGTTCTGTGCAGCTTCATGTGTTTAGAAAGAACTAGGAAAAGCTGAAATTTTCTTGGAATTTTGTGATGGTGAATGTGTAAATGTTGCTAATTGTGGCTGGTAGTCTTATTTTAAAATCCTGCCACAACCATCTTTCTTGAATTTTAATCTTCTAATTGTCCTTCAGACTTAGAAGTAATGACATGAACTATAAAAGTGTGGTGCAATAAGAATATGTCTGTAAAACTTTTTTTCCATATGTCAAGAACAACCACTTAAAATGAGGGCTGTAGGTATGGGCAGATGGTAGGAGACATTTGAATACGCATTCATGCTGCAGGAGAGATGGGCCTTAAAAAGCTATTATTCAACAATATTTGAGTGTTTAGTACATACCAGGTTTGGGGGATATAATAGAGAACCATTCATAAATGATCCCAGCTACCGTGGAGCTCATATAGAATATAAGTGGAAGAGACAAATTTTTAAAAAATGAATATATACATAAAATAATTGCAAGTTATAATAAGTGCTATCTTGGGTTCAAACAATATTGAAGATAGATTTAGATAAAGTTGTCAGGAAAGGGCAAAGGAGATAATATATGTACTAAGACCCAAATGAAAAAGAACTGATTGTATGACAAATTAGAATAAGAACATTGCAGGCAGAGCGAATAGCTGATGCAAAGGCCCTGCAGGGAAGAAGGGCTTCATGTGCTGCAGGAAGCAGTGTGGCTCACAAGTGACTGAAAGCTTGAAGAAGCTCTAGACCAAGTCTAGAGGTACTTGATCTAATATCCAGGAATGTCAGCAAATCTATTCTGAGCTTATGGACCGCTGAACTGATTACCCACTATGCTGAACTTCACCTTTTATTTTCTATCTGGTACCTCTGCAGGCCTTAGATTTCTGAGCAGTCATTTCATGTCTTTCCCCTAGGGACAGGAGTGAGCTAAAGAACATTTTCTGCAACCCTGCCACAGAGTCTGCCTGTTACGCTGTTCTGTACCTTCAGTGTTCCTGGCACAGTAACTTGGCCATTAGAGGAGTTCAGTGTCATGATGATGAAAACTTTGACTCTTAGGTGGATTTAGATTAGCAGTCTAAATTGTATACTTAGAGTTTTGATGATTCTTTTTTTGTGTTTTTCAGATGAAAAATGATAGGATAAAAGTATCCCTCTCCATGAAAGTTGTCAACCAAGGGACTGGGAAAGACCTTGATCCCAACAACGTTATTATTGAGTAGGTAAAAGGTTCAGGAAAACTAAAATTGTAACTCCCAAAGCATAGAATGCTATAGTAAATCAGACTGAACTGGGAACTCTGCATTTGTAGACTTTGTTATTATACTGATGTGTTATGCTACATTTGTGATCTTTGGTTTTTCAAGGGTTTTAATATTAATTGCTCACATAAATTTAGCAAACAAGTATTCCATCAATGGTTTTGTTTCTTTCCTCTTAATCTTTTTCTGCTTCTGCCCTTTAGCCAGGTGGCTAGCAGGCATTCCTGAAGTACTGTTATTTGCCTGGCTCCTAGTGATTTCTGCATTGGGACTGAAAAAAGGTAGAGACTTTAGTAAGAGAGAAGAGTAATATAGAAGGAACTCTAAGTGGGATTTAGACTCCCACATCTGAACATAGCACCCTGCTCTCATTGGATCTTTTGACCTTTCATTTAGGAATGGAAAATTTTCTATCTGGGATAATGTCTAGTGACAAAAAATATTCACTGACTGTCTCAAATTCTTTCCTCAATTTCTCTTTTCTCCCCATCCCCCACGGTGAAGATTTAATCCAGGGCCTCAAATGTTCTACCAGTGAGCTGCCGTCCCAGCCCCTCTTTCTTGAATTTCTGTCCTGCTCTTCTTGGATCCCTAAGATCCTTCGAGGGATCTTGGGGGATTTATTTGTATTTCCAGTGTTTCAGAAAGCCAGTCAAAATCATGCATTTATCTTTAGATTAACAATAACTTTGATTGCTTTTGACTATGAAACATCACATATGTCCCTCATGCTAATTACTCTCCATAGCAGTTATATCATTGATTAAAAAGATTAAAAAGTAATAAATGATATTTGAGCTGAGTCTTAGTTGCAAAAAAGGTTGAAAATCCTTATGTTTATAGTTTTGAGCAAAATTGCTTTGGATACAAAGGAATTTTTTCTGAAAGGAAGGGAAGTGATATTTATTGAATATATATTATGCACCAGGCATTATACAAAGCTACTTATATATACTAGTACATATAACTCTCATAACAACCAGCAAATTGGGTATAATCTCCATTTTATTTTATATTTCTGTTTTCTAGCTTGGTGTTTGGTGGTGAGTAACTTCCCTGTGGTGGAAAATTATAGTGGGTCACTTGAATCTATGTTCAGATGTTAAAGCTAATGCTCCTTGCACTATAAAACGTTTATAGCTCTTGAATGTGACTTAAGAGTTTCTCAAGTTTCTGTAGTTTAGTCTCTAAATATTGTCATATTTGTAAGGCTGATTATTGACAAAACACTTCAGTTATAGTAGAAATCTTTTATAACTCAGAAAGGTTATTTGGCTCTGGCACTTACGGATTGCATTGCAATAAATTGCTTTTGTACCTCCTGCTTCAGCTTCTGAGAGTGCTAGAAATACAGGCATGTACCACTGTGTCTGTAAGAAGAATCCTATGCTATACAGACTCCATAAGAAAACAATTAAATTGGACTTGGGATGTAGATCAGTTGTAGAGCACTTGCCTAGCATTTGTGAGGCCCCAGCTTTGATTCCCAGCACCATACACACACACACACACACACACACACACACACACACACCCTACTAAGAGTTCTCATAGCCCCTCTTACAATGGTAAAATATAAAACAAGTAAGGTAAAAGGGTAGGAAAGGGAAAGGCTCTCTCTATGTATCTGTATGTATAGGCTATTTCTGGTAATAACCAACAGATAGAAACAGCAATTTTTGTTATAAAATGTGATAGTAGGTACATCCAGGAAAGGAAGATGAGACAGTATACAGGTTGTAAAGTTAGAAGGTATTAGAAAGAGTCTTGTCCTTTTTTTTTCTTTTTGAGACAAGGTCTTCCTATGCAGTTCAGGCTGGTCTTGAGCTCACTTTGTAGCCCAGGCTGGTCTCGATCTTGCAAAGATCCTCCTGCCTCATCCTCCCAAGTACAGGGATTACAGGCCTGTGCCACTACGCCCGGCTTAGTATATGTCCTTGACCAAATTAATTTCTCCAGACTTGAGATTCTTTACTGTAAAAAGGAAGTAATGACACATAGCTCAAAAGTGATGGAATGATTTAAGTAAAATTTTTGTTTATTTTCATTGTTTTGAGACAGGGTCTTGATATGTAGTTTATGCCAGCCTTGAACTCACTATGTAGCACATGTGGCCTCGAACTTGCAGTAATTTTACTGCCTTGGCTTCCCAAGTTCTGGGATTACAACTGTGTGCTACTATGTCCAACCTGTATAAAATTTTAAAACAGAGTCTTGTTAAATTACTAAGTTCCCTTGGCTGAGTTTGAATTTACTACTCCCTTGCCTCAGCCTCCCAGAGTGCTGGGATTATAGGTGTGTGCTATCCACTACACCTGATCCCAGTCCTTTTTTCTTTTTTGTTTTTGTTTTGAGATAAGATCTCACTTTGTAGCTCAGGCTGGCCTTCAACTCATGGCAATCCTTCTGCCTCATACTCCTGAGTGCTGGGATTACAGGTTTCTGTCACCATGCCCAACCCCAGCCCTTTTTTAAACTTTATTTTGAATCTTTAACAAAAAGGCCAACCTGGGCATGGTGGCACATGCCTGTAATCCCAGCACTTGGGAGGCTGAGGCAGGAGGATCATAGCGAGTTTGAGACCAGCCTGGACTACAAAGTGAACTCAAGACTAGTGAGACCCTGAACTGCATAGTAAGACCCTGTCTCAAAAAGACAAAAATAGCAACAACAAAACACCAAAAAGGCCAAAAACACACTAGAAGAAAGATAGCCTCTTTAGCAAATGGTGCTGGGAAAATTGCCTGTCCACATGCAGAAGATTGGATCTAGACCTGTACCTCTCACCATATGCTAAACTAAAATCAAAATGGATCAAAGATCTAAATGTTAAAACAAATGCTAACTGTGCTGAAAGATAAAATAGATAAAACTCTTGATGATATAGGCATAGGCAAAGACTTCTGAACAGTAATTGCACAAGGAATAGCATCAAAAGCCAACAAATGGGATCATATAAATTTAAAAGCATCTGTACCACAGAGGAAGCAATCAACAGTGAAGAGGCAACCTACAGAATTGGAGAAAGTGTTTGCCAGCTATTCCTCGGGCAGAGGGCTGACATCCAGAATACACAAAGAACTCAAAAAATTAGAGGCCCCCCAAATAAAAGACACAATCAAAAGATGGGCAACTGGGGCTGGGGATTTAGCTCAGCGGCACAGCGCCTGCCTGGCAAGTACAAGGTCATGAGTTTGATTCCCAGTACCGGAAAACAAAACAAAACAAAACAAAAAGATGGGCAACTGAAATGAATAAACACTTCTCAGAAGAAGAAGTAAAAGTGGCCCATAAATATGAGAAAAAATGTCCAGCACTTATGGCCATTAGAGAAATGCAAATTGAAACCACACTGAGATTACCTCTTACCTCAGAAAAAGTGATTATCATCAAGAAATCAAACAATAGCAAATGCTGGTGAGGCTGCAGGGAAAAAGGAACCCTTCCATATTATTGGTGGGAGTGTAAATTAGTACAACCACAATGGAAATCAGTATGGAGATTCCTAAAATATCTAAAACTAGGAATTCCATTTAACCCAGCCATTCCCCTTCTAGGAATCTTCCCGAAAGAGCTAAAGACATCATATTGCAGCGATACCTGCATACACATGTTTATAACAGCGCAGTTCATAATAGCTAAATCTTGGAAGTAGTCTGTGATAGATTTCAGCCAGCGTGCAGAAAGTAATAAAACAATAAAATGCCTTTATTGCGCGGCACGGAGAAGGTCACAGAGAGAGAAAAAAAGATCTTCTGGGGGCCAGGCTGAGGGAACAATGCTTAAATATGGTCAGCCTAGAGGTGGGGTTTAGGGGGTGGGCTAGCTGACTTGGCAGGCTAGCACTGGGTAGGAGCGTGGGAAAATGAAACGGGATATTACATAAAGGGGAGTAGGAAGTCCTAATTTGACTCCGGCAAGAAGGGTGGGGCTTAGCACGTGACCTCTAAGGGCCAGTGCCATATTGGCCATGGCATATAGTCTTCAGTAGGTGGCACCACAGCAACTCTAAAGGAATTACAGTAATGGAGAAAACCTATCAGTCTGTATATCCATCAGCAGATGAATAGATAAGGAAAATGTGGTATTTACACACAGTGGAGTAGTACTGTACCATAAAGAAGAATAAACGAGTCATTTGTAGGAAAATGAATGTACCTTGAGATTGTAAGGTTAAGTGAAATGAGATCCACAAGCTTAAATATCACATCGTTTCTCTTATATGAGGAACCCAAAGTTATAAATAAAGAACAAAATAAAAGGTAGTACTAAGAAGTAGAGAGATCTTTTGCAAATGGGAAGGGGACCAAGAGATGGGGGAGAGAAAGGGGTAAAAAGAGAATTAAGATGTGTTATATATATGTAGCAACTCCCCGTGAGAAATGTGAACATTATGTACTACAAACATGTACTAATAAAAAATAAAAACTGAAACAGATAGTTTGAGACAGGGACCCACTAAATTGCCCAGTCTGGACTGAGACTTGTGATTCTCCTGCCTTGGTCTCCGTAGCAGCTAGGATTATAGATGTGTGTTGTCATCCCCAGCTCAACACCCTTTCTCTTAAAAGTGTATAATCCATGACAACAGGAGCTATGTCTTACCTTTCTTATCTCATATAGTGCCTGATGTGTAGCATTCATTTAATTAGTACACTCATTTACTAATTTCTCAACAAATATAATGCAGAACAAGGGCTTTTCCTGTAAGGGGTTGTGTCAGTGACTCTTCAAGGTGATTGCTGCCTATTTAGGATGTCAATCCCTGATGTCCATCCCTAGGGAGGTATGTGGGTGCATTTGTTTAATCTTTTGTCTTGAGGTCTGGCCCTCAGCAAAAGGTACCATTTGCAAGGTATCTTGTCTTCCACATTGGCTCCTTGGAGGGTCTAGCCCTGTCTGACTGCCTATAATATTTCTATCGAACTCAGCTGCCTATAACAGTGGGATGGGGATAAAGAGAGGAAAAAGAACATTTCAGAGAGTGGGAGCTGCTGGTCATGCTGGCGCACACCTGTAATCCCAGCACTAGGGAGGCTGAGGCAGGAGGATTGTGGTGAGTTCAAGACCAGCGTAGGCTACAAAGTGAGCTCAAGACCAGCCTGAACTGTACAGCGAGACCTTGTCTCAAAAACAAAAACAAAATCAAACAGCAACAGCAAAAAGAAAAACAGAGAGTGGGAGCTGCTTGAGCAGAAGCATTAGAGTCTCATTTGGCCAGAATGAGTATAAATAAAAATGAGGCTGGAGAAGTAGGTTAGAGGCAGGCCGTGAAAGGCCTTGAATGTCAAGATAAGGAATTTGGACTTGATTTTCTAAAAAGACTTGCAGATCTTTTAGATCTATGAACTGGTAAGCATTGTAGGGCACTTAGCATAGTTACTAATTATATTTCATCCTCCGTGCATTAATGAGATGAGGCCTATTCTCATTCATAATTGCTAATTTAAAGCGTTATCCTGAGTGAAAAAACATGGGCTGTTTCATGTCATTGCTTTCATTGTCTCTCTTTTTTGGCCCAGCATTTTTCTCTCCTTTCTTCATGCCAGAGGCCAAACAAAAACAAACAGACCATAAATGTTATCCTATAGTATCTCTGGCCACATCTCTTAAGAGGGCCAGCAGTCAGTATCTTTTTGATTACAGACAAGAAGAGAGGAGGAGGCGGTCCTTCCAGGATTACACTGGGCAGAAGATCACCCTCGAGGCTGTCCTTAACACTACCTGCAAGAAGTGTGGCTGTAAAGGTAAGGTGAAGCCAACCATTTCTGTATTTCTGCGCTTGTGGGTGGATCTTTTATTTGGTGAAGGAGATAATCCAGTGTAAGTTGAGCTCATCCTCCTTTGCACCTCACCAGGGGTGTACCTGCTCCTGCTGTTGTTCCTATCAGACTTAGAACACAAGGCTTGGTGCTTGTTCTAGTTACTTTTTTGAATGGTGGCCCTGTGAAATACGGTATCACACAGCATACTCCCCTCTTTGCACTTCTTGCGCGGTAGCTGGTAACCTGCCTGGTTAAGGGCCCCATGTACTGTCCCAGGAGGGGTAAAGTGTTAGATTGTGATTAACACTCTAAATTGTATTTTCAGGGACAGTTATTGTTCTGTAAATATTAAATGACTGGGAAATACATTCCTTAAAGGTCCAGGTTAAATCCTTTTTCCATCTTTAGCTCTTTAATATCAGAGTTCTAAATAGCCTTTCAGTAATAAAGAATGTAGGATAGTCACTTCCTTTTAGCTGTTTCTTCGGGTTTCTTCTAGTCTTACTCAAATACTAAAAAGCTCTTTCAGCCTAACTTCCCTTGTTGGAGCTGTAATGAGAGGGATTGCCAGCTTCTCATTTTCAGAGTGACCTCAATTTGTTATCTCTTCTCCCTAGCCTTCCATCCCTCCTCTGTTCATTTTCTACAACTGGTAGTAGATTTGTGCTCAGGTTGAAATTACAGGGTTTTATGTCCCTATTTATTATTAATGTAGATGGAGAAGAAAAAGTAAAACAGAGAAAGAATACCTCCTCAGGGGAATTGTGGGAGCATTTCAGATATTTGGAAAACTCTGTGCTGTGTTCCATTTCTAGTTACCATCCAGCTTCTGGACCCAGAGGTGCAAAGTAGTTTATACCTAGTTTTTTTAATTATCTTATGCAGTTCCTCTGTACCCCTGAGGTTCTATCAGAAGCTTAGACACTACTAGCTATTGGGGACATAGCATATGTTTAAGGGACCCTTCCTTAATACTGTAGACTCAGGGAGGTTAGAGTCTTCTACCTTCAACTTGTATCCATCTGGTGCTGAATAAGGCAGAGTGGAATACCAAGATTCAGGATTTTCCCCAGTTAGCAAAAGTCAGGACAAAGGTAGTCGATTTATTTTTTTGGTGGGGGGCTTCTTTTTGAGACAGAGTTTCACTATGCAGTTCAGGCTGGCCTTGAACTCACTTTGTAGCCCAGGCTGACCTCAAACTCTGGCGTCATCCTCCTGAGTGCTGCGATTACGCATATGTGCCACCATGCCCAGCAATGTAGTTGATTTTGACATAGCAAAAAGAGCACAAGGCAAAGGGCCATAAAACCTTAGATAAGATTTAATTCTGCTGCTGTCTGTGTGACCTTGAGCTACTTCTTAACTCTGTTCTTTCATATCCTCTGCAAATGCAGGATGCTGGATGATCTGTAAGGCTCTTGCCAGATCTGACAGTCTGAATGTTCAGTGCCCCTAGGTGACTGCCTCTCTGCTTGCTAGTTTGGATATGAGTGCCCACTTCCTGCCAGCTAAGTATTTTAGGGGTTGGACTGCCACTCAGCTCCCTCTGCTAAGCATCCTGCTCTGTGGCGCAGCCTTGCATTGTCAAGAATAAGTTCCAAAATAGATCTTAAAAAGTAGCAAACCTTATTTCTAATGGAGGGCAGCACAACCCTGCATCCTCATATCCTCTGCAGTTTCCAAAGCAGCATCAGTGTTTCCCGCAGCTCTCAGACCAGCTGCTTGCCTCGCTTGTGTGAGTGAGCAATGCCGTCCTAAGGTGACAGAAAATCTGCTCTGGATGAACTTAGTAATATCTCCTGAACCATGGGGACCTTTCAGAAGCTTCTGGGGAAGATCTACCTGCTGAGGGGACAGACTACTTCCTTTCTCCTGTTTCTGCTTCTTTTTTACAGGCCACTTTGCAAAAGATTGTTTCATGCAACCAGGGGGGACCAAATATTCTCTGATACCCGAAGAAGAGGAGGAGAAAGAAGAGGCAAAGTCAGCAGAATTTGAGAAGCCTGACCCTACAAGGAATTCATCCAGAAAAAGAAAGAAGGTGAGTGTCGTCTTGCTTATATTTATTATATTTTTGAGTTTTAAAATGAAAATATACTTTTTGCAGAAACTTAGAAATACTGAAAAAGAATAGATGTCCCACTCGGGTGTGGTGGCTCATGCCTGTAATTCCAGCACTGAGTGGGTCGGGGGCTGAGGCAGGAGGATTGCTGTGGGCTACGTAAGAGAGTTCAAGGCCATCCTGAAGTACACAGTGAAACCCTGTCTCAAAAAGACAAAAAAAAAAAAAAAAAAAAAGAATAGATGTCCCATAACCTTTATATTCAAAGACTTATAGGGCCGGGGATATAGGTCAGTGGCATAAGTGCTTGCCTGGCAACCCTGAGGTCATGAGTTTGATTCCTGGTACAAAAAAAAAAAAAACGAACTAGGACTCTTACTAGTATTTTTGGGATATTAGAATCTTTTTTGGGTGATAATACAGATATATATTGCTATACATATCGATATAAAATTATGTCATTCTAAAAATAGTTTATATTGCTGTACATGGTGGTGCACACCTGTAATCCCAGCACTTAGGAGGCTGGTGCAGGAGGATTGCTGTGGGCTACATAAGGGAGTTCAAGGCCAGCCTGCACTACATAATGAAACTCTGCCTCCAAAAAATAAAACAAAACAAAAATATAAATAGTTTATAACCCTACTTTTTAAAAATTTAATTTGCATTACCCTTAACTGTTCATTAAAAAATGTAATATAAGTGTAATATATTGTTTTCATTAGAACTTTATCAATCAGATTTTTGCAATATAATATTCTAAGCTATGGCTATATGTTTATTAATTTATTTTCCTCTTGCTGGATATTTTTAATTACCTCCAACCTAAATTTTTTAATATATCACTTAATATTTTTTGGATGGATTCCTAGGTAAGATTACTGAGTTAAGACTTTAAGGCTCTTGATATGTCTTATCAAATTGTGTTCTGGAAAGTACTTATCTGCCTTCAACAGCATGTAAGAGTATCTGTCTCCCTGATTTTGCTCCCTTTTGCTACTTAAAGCAGAGCAGTTCATAAAACAGACCTTATTGTGCAGAAAGAAACAATGTATTTGTAACATGCTACATAGAAAGGAAGTAAAAGAACTCTGCTGTAATTTGTTCAGAAAATAATTGTTCTCCTGTCTTGTAGGAATTGTTTGTGACTAGTTTCTTGAGTTTTGTTTTGTTTTTAAATCTTTATTTATTTATTTTCTTTTTTCTTTTTTCTTTTTGAGACAGGGTCTCGCTGTGCAGTTCAGACTGGCCTTGAGCTCACTTTGTAGCCCAGGCTGGCCTCGAACTCACAACGATCCTCCTGCCTCAGCCTCCCGAGTGCTAGGATTACAGGTGTGCGCCACCACACCCGGCCTGTTTTTAAATCTTTAACAAACTTGTTGAGTGGTCATTTTGTGATAGGCATTGCAAAACTCTAGGGATACAAAGATTGAAGAGATCTTTGCCCTCAGCGGGCATTATCTATAAATAAAGTATAATCTTCAGTTTATAAGGAGATGGTTCCTTTATGCTGTTCTGATAATTAGCCAATGATAATTTTTATTGATCTGTATATTCTCTCCCTGGGTGCTCCTGTCTGTCCTAAGACATCAGCTTTCTTAATGACTTCCACATTCCTAAAGTATCCCATGTGTATCTCAAACTTTGGTGCAAGTCATTCAGTTTTTTGAGGTCCTTCTTACGCTACTTACTGCTATGCAACTTAGGGATAACTTCATTTTGTTTCTTGTAAAGAGGGATTGTCATAATCTTTGGTGACAGTATTTCTGTCAGAGGGATACCCAGCTCCCAAAAACAGGTAGAAAGCACTGACAAGTAAGTTCCTAGTAATGCCGTTGATGACTACCGTCATCTCTTTTTGAGACTTTTTCCTTCCCAAACACATGCTCATATACCACCCCTACCACAAAACTCTTGTTTCTGTCTTATAATGTGGCTACACACTCCCATTCTCCCAAGGAGTCCAATCTGCCATTATTTTCTTCTTTCCATTTCACATGTAGTCAGTTACCAAGTTCTGCCAGGGGCTACTTATTTAATTCTTTTAATTAATTAATTAATTTGGAGATGGGGTCTCATTATGCAGCTCAGGCTGGCCTTGAACTTGAGGTGATGCCCCTGCCTCAGCCTCCTGAGTGCTGGGTTTACAGGTGTGTACCACCATATCCAGCCAGGGGCCACATTTTAAGCAGACTCAAAAGTCTGTTGCTTCCTGCTACTTCCTGCCTCCCATTGTAACAAAGAACACGTAACATAAAACTTACCATCTGAAACTGTTGTAGTACATGTGTAATCCCAGCATTCTGTAAGGCTGAGGCCGGAGGATTACAAATTTGAGCCAGCCTGGGCAAATTAATGACTTAGTGACACCCTGTCTCTAAGGAGAGAAGGGCAAAGGAGTGGGGATGGAAGGCCCTGGGTTCAATCCCCAGTACCCCCCAAAAGATTTTTTTAATTATTGTTCTAAATTAATTTCTTTCTCTCACCCTCCCTTCCTTCCTTCCTTTCTGTCTTTCCTGCAGTGCTGGGAATTGACTCCATGGCCTTGCACATGCTAGGCAAGTGCTGTCCCACTCAGCTGCAGTCCCGGCCTCCATTGTAACTATGTTCAAGTGCACAGTTAGTGTGAAGTGTATTCACCAGATAGCATTCTCTGCACAAGTAATTATCTGCATGAAGTCCATTTACCTGTTTCTTTTATTACATAGACTTCTGGTGTCATGCTGAAGAAACTCCCCGAAGAGTTTGTACATTTAGATATTTGATCCATTTTGAATTTTTATATGTGGTAGGAAGTAAGGGTCCACACATTTTTTTGCATGTGGATATCCAGTTAGGCCATCTCCATCTATCGAAAAAATTGTCTTTTCTCCACTGAGTGGTCTTGGCATCCTTATCAAAAATTGTTTGACCATATCTGGAAGAATTTATTTCTGGATTCTTTATTCTATGAGTCTATATATCTGTCTTTATGTTACTGCTATTTTGATTACTTGTAGCTTTTTAGTAAGGAAGTATAAATCTTCCAGCTTGGTTCTTCTTTTTCAAAATTATTATGACTATTCAGGAACCTTTGAGATTTTGTGTGAATTTTAGGAGAGATTTTTCTGCTTTCACAAAAAAATCATTGGGGTTTTGATAGGGATTACACTGAATCTGTAGAGCACTTTGCAAAATATGGACAACTTAATTATATCTTCCATTTACTTTTGTGTTTACTTTCTTCTTTCCTTCCGTTTCCTTTTTTCCTTTCTTTTTTCTTTTTTTTGTACCAGGAATCAAACTCAGGACCTTGCGCTTGCCAGGCAGGTGCTGTGCCTCCTTTCCTTCTTCCCCCCTTTCCTTTTCTCCCCTTCTTCCTGTCTCTCTTCCTCTCTCTTGTCTGTCTCCTTTCTCCCTCTCCCTTCTTACTCTGCTCCCTCTCTCCCTTCCCTGCCTCTTTTCCTTCTTCCCTCCCCGCTTCTCCTCCTCTTCCTTCTCCCCCCTCACCTTCCTCCTCCCTTTTCTACTCCTCCCTCTCCCTCTTCCTCCCTCCCATTCTCCCTGCCTTCCTTCTTTCTTTTTGCTTTATACGTGGTAAGCACAGGCTCTGTGGCTGACCAGTATACCTACCCACAAGCCCTTGTGTCTTTAATTTTTTTGAATAGTGTTTTGTAGTTTTTTCAGTATGTAAGTCGTTCACCTCTTCACTTATTCCGAAGAATTTTATTCTTTGATAGTTGTAAATGGAATCGTTTAGTGATTATTTTAGGTGACTAGAAATAGCTGATATTTACATGTTGGTTTTGTATTCTTCAACTTTGCTGAATTCATGTATTGGTTTTTTGTTTTGCCTGGTTTTTTTTTTGGTAGTGGGGATTGAAGCCAGGGATGGTCAACTGCTAAACTATATTCCCACCCCTTTCTGAGACAGGATCCTGCTAGGTTGTCCAGGCTCACTTTGAATTTAGGATCATGCTGCTTCTGTCTCCCAAGCAGCTGGGATTACAGACATGACCCACACACCTGGCCATATATTCGTTCTAAGTGTGTGTGTGTGTGTGTGTGTGTGTGTGTATAGGAGAGAGAGACAGAGACAGAGAATGATCTTTATGGTTTTCTACTCGTAAAATTATATCATCTGCCAGCAGAAATAATTTTATCTTTAGCAGAGCTAGATTTTTAACCATGTTTACATGTGCCAAGGGTTATTCTTTTTTAACCTTTTATGGAGTTAAATGGTATTTGTCAGATTCCTAACGTGGTTACATTGATATTTTATATCTGTGGGTTTTTGATCGAATTCTTTTCACATTGCTGAATATACTAACTTCTATTCATTATTGCTTTGTTTCTAAACTGCTTTGAGACACGTACTTCAGTGCACCAAAGCAGTTTGTAAGGATCTGCTAGCCATGAGACTTTTTTATAACCTGTTTAGTTAATCCACTATCCTATTCTCTGTTCCCTTTACTTAGATGAACAGAATGATGAGCAATGGCAATAATAATCATAACTTATTTTTAAAAGTATCTTTTTGTACATGAACTTCTATTTTATTAGTGTTCTTGGGTTAACAAGTACTGTAGGGTTAGGAGTGTGGCTCAGCAATAGACGATGTGCTCAGCATGTGTGAAGCTTTTGGTTCAGTCGCCAGCAGCAAATTACAGTTTTTCTCTGGCATTGAAAACTTAAAACCTCCCCCTCTTGATGCATACTTGTTTCAACCATAGCATCCAACATCATTGTCCTTTCACTTTTTGTCAGTCCCTTCATTATGTGGGGTGGGGGTACTGGGAGTGGGTGGTACTGGAAGTCACCAGCCCCTTTTATTTATTTATTTATTTTTTAATATTGAGACAGAGTTTCCCTAAGTTGGCCAGGCTGGGCTTAAATTTGGCCTGAGCCTACCAGAGTTCTAGGATTACAGGCCTGTGCCCATCAATCTCTATTGCTTCATTATCTTTTATGTCTCATATTTGTTTAGTACTTAGAGTTTA